TTTTTTTTTTTTTTTTTTTTTTACTGTTTAATTTACACTTATCGTAAGTGAGCTATCACTTTCCATGGCTTTATAAGATGTCGTAATATGGACATGATTTACCTAGATATTCTTCACTGTCAGAAATGTAAGCTATCTATTTTTTCACTACAATAAATAACGCTGGGATTAACATCTCAGAACATATTCTACTGTGTTCTGAGTACCTAGTCAAGTGTCTGATATGTAGCAGGGAGGTTTGAGAAATGTGCTGAATGATGAAGTGAAAATAACTTTTTCCATATTTTGAAGTATCTCCTTAGTCTCAGCGTGGAATTATCAGGTAGAGCATTTTTTATGGCTATTAAAATTATTTTTCAAAAGGGGCTATACCAATTTTCAGTGCCACTGGCAAAACAAGCAACATTTAAAATTTTTGTTTTAATTGAATTTGAGAGAGAAAAGGAGGGAGACAGACAGAAAACATAGATGTGAGAGAGAAACATTGGTTGGTTGCATCCCATATGCACCCTGACCAGGGTTCAAACCTACAACCTGGGCATGTGCTCCTGACTGGGAATTGAACCAGCGACTTTTCTGTGCACAGGACAATGCTCAACCAACTGAGTCACACCAGCCAGGATGCAAGCAACATTTTAAAAAAAGGTTTACATCTTCTAAAGATGTTAACATCCCCCAGCCAGGCGTGGCTCAGCAGCTGAGCATTGATCTAGGATCCAGGAGATCTTGGTTCAATTTCCAGTCAGGGCACATGCCTGGGGTGCAGGTTCGATCTCCAGTCGGGGGCGTGCAGAAGGCAGCCTATCAATGACTCTCTCATCATTGATGTTTCTCTCTCTCTCTCCCTCTCCCTTCCTCTCTGAAATCAAGGACGATATATTAAAAAATTAAAAAATAAAAATGCTAACATCATCTTGAAAGTGTTTATAATGTGCTAAAGCACATTTTTACTTCATGTAGTAGTCTACAACAATCCCTCTGAGGTAGGTATTATTAAAATTCCCATCTAGTTAATGAAAAAATAGAAATTTAAAAATCTTACCCAAGATCACACAGCTAGTGAAGGGCAGACCAAGAATGAAAATCCAGGTTCAGCCTAACAACCACTGGACTTCTTTATCAAAAAACATTAATAGGCAAGAACAGAACCTTGCTATTTTAACTGTCCTGAGGTTTTTTCCTATTTCCCAAGTGAAAATACTTTTGTGATTTATCTGTTCAAATCCTTTGCAAATTTCTCTACTGGAATTTTTACTATTTTCCCTATAATTTGTGCTTATCTCTTTAAATAACAACCTTCCTTATTCTGAAAATGATACCACCATTAACATAGCCAAGGAATGCAAGATCCTTTTTCATAGTCACATCAAATTGTTGGCTTAAACTAAGTTTAGAAACAATGAAAATTTCTAAGTCCCTTTCCCAAATGCCTCTGAAGACTCACCAATTCTCCATCCTATACTTGATTTTTCAGCCCTAAATGCAAAATATGAAGAAACAATACCTCCTAGTTAACACTGATCAGCAAGAAAACGTCAATTCCTCACCATTATTATAATGTGTTTGCATTAATTTATAATACTCTTCACTTCTATTTCAAGTCTAGAAAAAGGGAAAGCAGAGATACCTTACTGACTGCTGTAAATCTTGGGTCTGGGTGTGGAAATGCCGAGAAGGTGTTGGGTAACGGGTCCAATGCACGTTATTCCTAGGTCCTTGGTGAACAGCATTATTAGAGGTGTGGACTGGTTCCATCATATATGGTGAGTATTCAAAACCACTTGATCTGGATACACTGGAATTCCGATCCCTCAAAGAGAATGTTTTTTACATACATTACTGGTCTCCATATTTAGTAGCCAATTTAGTGTCTATATTTTGGCCCATGAAAATCACAATCCTATCCTCCCCTCCATTGCTATTGGTTTAGGTTTCCCTGAGCAAGTAAACAAGCTACAAGAAGAATGGGTTATGTGTAACTTGATGACATAAAAAGAGATTTCCCTAACTACAAATTTCACATGTAAAATGCAACTTACCTTCTGATGGGACCATTCTGAAGGTCTTCAATGTAGTTTTGTCTTTCTATGCAATGTCCTCGGCATCTATTGAATACTGAGGAGTGGAATAACTGTTAGAAATAACTGTACAAAAAGCAAATCTTTTCCAGAGAAAGCAAATCAGAGCTGAAATCCACTGACTAATTATTCAGGCTGTTATATCTCAATATTTCCAGATACATCCCTGAATACACTTTTGGCAAAAAACTATCTTATGTCAGAACAAATGAATTACAAACATTTTTTTCCAAAATTTGAGAAATTCATCTACATTTCCACCTCCAACTTTTATAAAAAGGGAAAAACAGTGATAACCTCATACTTACATTCAATGGCATCATCTGGCCTCATGCCTTCCACATCAATCAAATATCTAACAAAACAACATACTTTGAGTTAAAGATTTTTCAGAAAAGGTGCAATTTCACTTACAAATATAGATATAAAAATCCTAAGAAATATCAGCACATCTAATCCAGTAATTATTAAAGAACGATATACCATGACCACAAAAAGGCTTTATTCCAAGGATGCAAGCATGAGCCAACTTTAGAAAACCTATTAATAAAATTACTTACATTAATACAACAACTTAATTACTTAATAAAAGAACAGAAAATACAGAACCAAACTGGCAGATGTTAAAAAGGTATCCGATAAAATACAAGTATGACAGAGTATTTACCAGGAATCAACAAAAAGCGAAAGACAAATTGGGGGGGAAATATTAATATTATATCTAAAAAATATTATTTAATCAATTGTATGGGCCAGAAACTTAGGAGTCACCATCACTGCCAGCAAATTCTTTCTTACCCTCATTTTCAACCTACCACCAATCCTAACAATATTACTACATATCTCTAGAATATATCCACATCTTTTCACCAAAATGACCACCATACCTTGGACCAAGCCACCTTTATGCCTCAATTTCTACAAAAGCCTCCTAACCTGTCTACTTGCTTCCACGCAGTGCCCCTGAAGTGTATCCTCCACTCAGTACCAAAATGTTAGGTTGAAATGCAAATTAATTATATTCTACACTAACCCTCAAAGAAAGAGTTCAATGATTTTCTATTACTCTTAAGATAAAGTCTAAAACCTTAAACATAGGCTTGCATGATCTAGCTCCTACCCAGTCTTCCAGTTCTATTTTAATGCCCTATTTCCCCCACGGCCTAGCTTCCCTGGCCAGTTCCTCCAACACAGCATATGCTTTCCTGTTACAGGGACTTTACTGTTCCTTTACTGTTCCAAACTCATTGCCCAGAATTCTCTCCCCGATGCCCCTATCTTGTTAAGACCCGCTATTCCTTCAGATATCAGAACAAACCTCTCCATGAAAAACTTCTCTAATCTCCATGATGAGGTTAAATTCTCCCTATTAATATGCTCTCTTAATCCCATGTCCCTCTCCTTCTTGGCACTTGTCAAAGTTGTAATTCTGTATGCATTTGTGTGATACTTGAATAGCTACTCCCTCTCTAGACTGTTAGGATCCACAAAGCACAGGCCAAGTCTCTTTGCTCACAAAGCCTCAAAAGTCTTTTTGCCAGCAGAGTGCTTACATGTAACAGGTGCTCAATAAATATTCTTTGAATAAACAACACAAATCAGTACACTGTAGCAACATTCACAAAAGAGCATAAGGGCATAAACTTTTTGATTCAGAAATTCCATTCTGAGTGAAATTATCTCTGAGACAATAGCATATACTTTCAAAGATGTTCATAGAGGAATGTTCATTATTTCAATGTTGTATAATACCAAAATCTTCTGATTCTTATGTCTATGAGTAAGCAAAGGCAGCCTTTTAAAAAAAAATGAGGTCTCCAAATACTTTCATAGGAAGATGTCCACCATTATTAAATTATAAAACAGAATGTCTAAATATGATACCATTAAATTACACGTATATGCTTATATCTGCAGTTTTAAAGTCTGCAAAAACATATACTAAATTATTACTGGTGGTAATCTCTGGGTGGGGGCAAGATTGCTTTCTACTTCATACATTTCTATACTGATTGCATTTTTACAAATAGTTTATATTACTATTTAAATAAAATAACTTAGACATGGTCTGCCTCTTGGGGTTGGCAACTCACCTGCAGATGAGGTAGCCAGTCCTGTTTAAACCATGGGTACAGTGGACACCAATAAGTCTGTCTATAAAGCAGGGAATGTAGAGTTAAATAAATACCCTAAAAACAAAGTGATACAATTTTCTGAAGAGTAACATTTATTAGTTACCACACTATCACTACCTGAAAATAAATAACTGTGAAGAGAAATGGGTGTTTTTTCAGCAACATACTATAAAGGATGATCTAATACAAAGTCAAAATTCATTGTCCTGGGAAATTCCGCATAGCCCCAATTAGACGCAATAGTGTAAACTGGGGAAGGCCTGGTCAGGTACTTACAGTAAAACTCCACTGAGACAAACTCATTTGTCTTAATATAGAATGTTCATCAGCAAATAATTTAACTATTGAAAAAGGGAGTTAAAGAAAAACAAAAACTACTATTCACCTCTAAATCCCCATACCCTAGCACTAACTAGTTTGGCTCAGTGGTTAAGAGTACTGGCCCGCAGACTGAAGGGTTTCAGGTTCGATTCCAGCCAAGGGCATGTACCTCGGTTCCAGGCTCGATCCTGGCCCTGGTTGGGCACGTGCAGCAGGCAACCAAACAATGTGTCTCTCTCACATCAATGTTTCTGTTTCTTTCTCTTTCTCTCTCCCCTCCCCCTTCCACTTTCTCTGAAAAGCAATGGAAAAAATATCCTCAAGTAAGGGTTAAAAAAGAAATACTAAATAAATAAATCCCCGTACCCTAACAATAAACCCAAAAGGCTCTCAAGTGTTTACTGAATCAATTTATTTTCTGAGTCCACCAGGTCTAGGGACTGGGTTGTGTAGGATCTCCCCCTCATTAGTGAGCCTGGTATTTGTGGGAGGGGCTTACAGCACAGGTAGACAAATGGACTGTAAGCCAGGTATGGAGACCACTATGGCAGGGAGCACTGCGGGACACAGTGATGTCAGCACCACGCAAGCAGACCACCAACATGGGTGAGCCTAAGCAGCACACTACACTTGGTGTAACGTGTGCATGATCAAGGTTTACAAACATGTTCTCATGCACTCATATGGATCTTCTGGCTCTCACAGGAACAGATAGAACACTGTGTAACAGTTCCACACAAAGGAGCCTGGACACAGTGAGTAGGCCAGCAGCTTCACCCTAACACCTTAAGAGGTAATGTTTCTTTGAGTACAGTTTATACAAATAAGATAATTTTACCTCCTCTGTAGATGCTGTGGTTATCACAGGAAAAGTCCAGTCTCTCAAGATTTAAAGTATAGGGGAGATCTGTGACCAGGGCTTAAGATATTTAAGAACTAATGCCTACATTAAGCAATCAGGTAATAGTTTGAAAATGTATCTTAAAACCCACTGATCCCATCTCTCTCTTTCTTCCCATCCTCTATTTTCCCATACCCATCTCTATTCTTTCTTCTCTACTCCGTTTATATATATAAATACATATAAACATATATATTTGCTACATGTCAGATTTACTTAATAAAGTGGACAAAATGAACACTTTGTCCTATGGGTGTGTGGCTTTCCAAGGAAAAAAGAAACCTCAGTCTTAAAATGTGGCAAACACCATGTTCCTTCTGATAGTTAGATACCAGAAAAAGGCAACTGATTCTTTAAAATTGAGACACTATTGAGATCTGCTTCCAAACAGAGTAAAGTAGATCTTAAAGCAGGAAAAAACAACAACACAGGCCTTTTTAAGTTCTTCCTGTTTAAAACTAAGAATAAGAGGTGGTCATGACCTTTTTTACTTGTGCCCAAAGTGGAAAAACAACAGAAATATTTTAAGTACAAATGAGAAGGATGCAATCCCACTAGTCCACTCCGTTTTATTTGCTTGTAGGGGGTCTGTCTCGCTCTAAACCTTTGCCTTCTGTTTTCTCTTTTACCCACTCTAAGATGTAGAGATTCTAATGTTTTCTTCCACCCACCACTCACCTCTTAACCAATAAATAACACAAAAGAACATATTAATTTTATTATATATTTCCCATTCAAACACCTAAAAAAAAAAAAAGAGAGAGATAAGCTAGTTCAGTTCATATTTCTCACTACACTTTCCAAATGAAATTATTTATTTGTAACCTTAAAAGAACATACATCTTACGCTATTACCACCATCTGATATGTCCACATTATCATATACAATAGGCCTAATGTAGGAACTGTTAAAAATATTAAAAATCCCCAACCTAATTCAAAATGAACACCGAAGTTCAGGTAAGAAAAAAAAGAACTCACCATTATCTTTATTTTCTTTCAAAAACCCATTAACAGCACGTTTGAATTTTAAAATAGTGTCGTCATCAGGCACCTGATGCCCAACTGTATAAATTTTTAAGTAAGGAATAGTTTCTGGTAAGTCCTATAAGGAAAAACCATTAAAATGTATATTATTTCATTTGCAGGGAAAGAATTAAAAATTAATTAGAAGAGCCAAAATATAAACCAAGAGGTAATAAACTTAGCATATTAGTAATTCTGATAAAAGAGCCATTTTTTCCAAAGCTGCTTCAACCAAGAAGCATCACTTGATTTTCATTAGTCAACAGGTATGCAAAACTCATGTGAATGAATGCATGTATAACTAAAAATTGCATAAATAATTCTACCTAATATTTTACATTTCAAGGGCCATAAAGCAGCTGTGATTTAAGTTTTTTGTGTTTTTTTTTGAGTTTACAAAGTCAGAATTTATTTCTATTTAAAAATGCTCAAGAGATTTAAGTTTAATAGAGTCAGAAGAACTTGGAATTCAATTGTGAAATAGAGCAAATTTCAGGTACTGTTGAGAACTTGGTGGGAGAAAGTAGATATTGATAAAAGCCAGAAAAAGTTAAATGCAAATTCTGTACTTCTGAATGTAACAGAAAAGTATCAGTATGAACCTGTGACATATTTTATATAAAGGTCATCAATTCAATTCCTGGTCAGAGCACATGCCTGGATTACGGGCTCGATCCCCAGTAGTGGGCATGCAGGAGGCAGCCAATCAATGTTTTTCTTTCTCTGTCTCCCTTCCTCTCTCTCTCTAAAATCAATAAAAACGTATTTAAAAAAACAAAAACAAAACACTAATCAGAAAGAATGTATGTACCCCAATGTTCATAGCAGCACAGTTTACAATAGCTAAGATCTGGAAACAGCCCAAGTGCCCATCAGTAGATGAGTGGATAAAAAAGCTGTGGGACATTCACACCATGGAATACTACGCAGCTGTAAAGAAGAATCTCGTACCCTTTGGGACAGTATGGAAGGACCTGGAGAATATTATGCTAAGTGAAATAAGCCAGGCAGAGAAAGACAAACATCACATGATCTCGCTTATACGTGGAATCTAAAGAACTTAATAAACTAATGAACAGAATAGATTCAATGACATGGAAGCATAGATGAGACTGACGAATGTCAGAGGGATGGAGGAGGGCGGGTCGGTGGAGGGGGAGAGTAACCAAAGAATTTATGTGTGTATATGCACAACCCAAGATCACGGACAATGGTGGGGAGAGGGACTGGGGAGGGGGATGGGACGGGGTGGAACGGGTCATTGGGGAGAAAAAGGGACATCTGTAATATTTTAAACAAAAATCAAATTTAAAAATAAAATAAAAAATAAAAAATTGATCCAAAGTTATAATCCAAAAAAACAACCATACAAACACATTTCCTAAATGTGACCAACTGAAAAAGTAAATGAACTGATGTCCTATCATCATGACATGTCAGGGGCCACATTGAGAAGCTCCTACTAGCCAAAGATAGGACCTCAGTTTGTGCCGCAATAAGAATAACTATAATGGAGTCCCTAATGAAACAAACAAACAAATAAAATCTAACTAGTCATCACTGGAGGATATTGGTGAATCGATTCATTATTTTGAAAACTGTTAAAAAAAAAGGAAAGAATCATGCCTCTACAACTGGGCAACCAAATAGCTGATGAGGGGAAAGCTTTTGTTAAAAATATACCCAACTAATAAATGAAAAAAGAACAAGACAATTCAGCATTTTTGAAGTCCCAAGTGAATTAATGGATTTAGGTATCAATCATCAGTGACTGCTACTATTACAGGAAGAGGCAATCACTTATATGTCTCCATGGAAGAACACATCACCACCTATGAAACTGTCTTGCAAAGAATTAAAACAAAAATAAAAAACCAAGCCTGGATCTGATCAAACCTCTAGGTCCAACTACAATTTTTTAAAAAAAGGACTGAAGATTATGTTAACAACACGTGGGGACACAATCATCAAAATCATGTGAGACAAACTACCTAGTTTCTCCAAAAAATAAAATTCAAGGAGGGAAATTAAAGAAAAGTAAGAGAGATATGGAGGGAGAACCTATAGATTAAATAAGACTTCAGAGACCTACAATCAAATGCAAAGTGTGGACCTTATTTGGCTCTAACTCAAACCTTAAAAACAATTTTTTAATGAGATTGAGAAGACAACTGCAAATCTGCATGCTGATTAGATATTTAATATTAAAAAATGATATTAAGGAATAAAGTCCTATATTTTAAATATACATATACATACCAAAAATGTACAAGGTAAAATGATATATCTGGGATCTACTTCAAAATAATATGGAATGGAGAGAAACAGATAGAAGTATAGATGAAACATCGTATCCGTTGATAAATACAAAAGCTGAGTGAATTTATGGGTGGACAACAAACACCCACAGTATTATGTTTACTACTATATATGTTTAAAATTTATGATAATTGTTTCAAAACAAGACGACACTGTGGAAAATAGTCGGCAGATTCTCAAAGGATAAACATAGAACTACCATGTGATCTAACAACTCCACTCCTACCTATATATATCTAAAAGAATTGAAAGCAGGATTTGAACAAATATTTGTGCACCCATGTTCATAGCAGCATAGTCCACAATAACCAAAGGTGGAAACAGTCCAAGTGTCTGCCAATAGATGAATAAATAAAATATAGTATATACACTCATGATTATTCAGCCATAAAAAAGGAATGCCATTTTGTAACATGCTATACCATGGATGAACCTTGGAAACATTATGTTTAGTGAAATAATCGAGAAAGAAAGACAAATGTATGAACATTTATATGAGGTACCTAGAACAGGCAAATTCATAGAGACAGAAAATAGAAGACGGAGCTAGGGCTGAGGGGAGAGGAAATTAGGTTGTTACTGTTTAATCGTTAGTGCTTTCATTGAGGATGATGAAAAAGTTCTGGTTATTGACAGTGGTGATGGTTACACACATTGTGAATGTATTTAATGTTTGTGAATGGTTAAAATGATAAATATTATGTATATTTTTTCACAAAAAAAGAGGAAAAACTGAATTCAAGTTTTAATTCTTTCTTTTCTGAGCCTGTTTCATATCTGTAAAGTTAGTAATTGTATCATTTATTCTCTGAGCTTAGTGAAGAGTAAGCACTCAGTAGGAGATATCAGTACTACTACCACATTAGCTGAGGACTGTTGGGCAGATTAACTAAGTTAAGGTATGTGGCTAATTGCTACACAAGGATTAACAAAAATCAGGTTTTAATATTTCCCAAGGCGATGGAACTGATCAGAAGGAAGATAATTCTTTCCCACGGATATGCCACATGGGCCAACAGAACATACGGGTTTCTGTATTACATTGAAAGATTGTAGGAAAAGCATACAACTTTGAGAACAACTTGTCTTTTACTGTAATGCTTACATTTGCTCAGGCAACTGCTGAAAATAAAGGCAAAGACATAATGAATATTTCTTTCTTTTCTTTTAGGCTACTACTATTCTTCCTAAGAGTCTACTACATTTTCAAAATATAGAACATGGAAACTTATAGAATTTCTTAAGCACATACACAGCCTACTGACAAATAATAGAGTTTAATTCACGTCTTTCATTCTGAGACAGCAATTAGAAATGTTAAATTAAGGAAACCACTTGGTTCCCCTTTTCAATTGTTACCCATAAAACAAGTCATGGATTCATATTAGCATGTGATAACTACTAACTACTATGAATATTATAGTATCCGAAAGAAGGTTCTTTTCAATTAAGATTTCCATTTACCTCTGGTTTATAATAGCGGTGAGTATATGTTAAATCAATAATTAGTCCAAGTTCTTCCTTCTGTTCTTGGATTTTGTTAAAAAGATCCAAGGGGGAAAAGCGTTCTTCTGGAGCAAGTCTCCCTTCAAAACTCTGTCAGAGAGAATGAAATAATAAACAAAAAAGGTGTGTTTAAAATCCTTTCTTATATTAGCCATTTATTCAAGCCCCGTGCTGCAGACATACAATAAGATTCAAAGGAAAGTTTTCACTTTTCTGCAGTTTACAAGCAATATTACAATCCTTTCTTGCAGACAGACTGGAGGTAAGAAAATAAGTTCATGTCTATATATCTACTTGTGTTTGTTTCACATTGGTCTCCTAACCAGACTGTAAACTCCCAAAAGGCAAGCCACGTCAACTTTGCCCCATGGTATCTCCAGCTCCAAGTGAAGTGCCTATAAAAGGGCACTTATAATACTTCTTAAATGTGTATATATGTGGAGAATGCCTGTAATTGCTAAGTAGTCTTTATGTATTTGGCTTATTTGTGTACTCTGTTCCACGGGCCTTATTGGTTATTCAAGTGCCAATAACACAGGTACATTTTTGTTTTGTTTTGCTTTTAAATAAATACATTAGGTTTTCTGGGGGGGTTTTAGTTTTAGTTTATTTTTTAATTATTTGTTAATCCATACCCGAAGATATTTTTCCATTGATTTTTAGAGAGTGGGAGGGACAGAGGGAGAAGGGTGGGGGGGAAGAGGGGGGGAGAAAGAGAAACATTGAGGTGAGAAAGACACATGGATGGGTTGTCTCTTGCCCCTCCTGACTGGGGCCGGGAATTTAACCCAAGATCCTTTGGTGCTTGGGCCAACGCTCTAACCACTGAACCATACCAGTCAGGGTAATACACTAGTTTTTAGAGCACTCTTAGGTTCACACTAAAACTGAGCAAAAAGTAGAGATTTCTCACTTATACCCTCTCTGCTTCACCACACACAGCCTTTCCAAACATCAACATTCCATACCAGTGTGGTACATTTGTTAGAATCAGTGAACCAACACTGGCACATCATTATCAATTAAAAGTCCACAGTTTACGTTATGAGTCACTCTTTGCATTGTAATTCTATGGGTTTTGACCGATTTTTTTAAATACCGGAAGATATGTTTAGAGAGAGGGAGGGAGGGAAGAAGGGACAGGAAGAGGGAGAGAGGGAGAGAGGGAGAAAGGGAGA